ATTATATATAAAACATTCATATCTTACTATATTAGTATCTAAGTAGCATTACAACAACATTACAACATCTCCTTTAGTACTGCAATTTGGCAGTGCTGCAGCATTTCCAAAATGTCAGTTACTTCAACATGTACATCTGTTTTCACCTTTGTAGTTAGTACCTGAGGTCTTTGGCGTGCACAGTTACTTACTTCATGGCTAGAACAATTTTGGCATGGAAAGTGGCTTCTGGCATTGTGTGAGGTATGTTTGAATGAGTAGCAGGTATCATCATGGGAGTCTTTAGCTTTCTTAATTCTGTACAAGTCATGTAAGGAAATATTTCTCCATGCCTTTTCTGAACAGATAGGTAAACCCCTTGTTAACACTTCCAATGTACAGAGCTTTCTGGTGCTGAGAAGAAAAGTTGAAGCAAAAGCTATTTTGGTCTCTCACAGTGTCTAAAACAGTCTCAAGTTTTCTGTGGAGATCTCTCTTATTCCCTGGATGTATTTGACAGAGAAGTTACCTAGTGCTCCATTAGTACTTGAAAGATTATAGGCAGCAGAGATTTAGCAAAGGATTAGTCAATTGGAGAGTGTGCATTATCCGGCCAGGCTTAGAACCGTGATTGTCTCTTCAATCATTTTCATTAGTGTCTTATTCAAAGATTGAATTATGTAACAATGACGTTTCAGGGGAATCTGGTAATTTTTCTTTTGGTTTCTCTCTCCTGCTAACTCTTCAAGCCTGGGAGAGGGGGGAAAAGCATTATTTTTATGCAGCATGTTCTGAAAAGCAGCAATTCAGATAAGTGAAGAGGCATGACTTAAGTTGCAGCATCTGCGTTTGGATGATAACTTAGCGTGGTGAAACTCTTGAGAGAGGCAGGATGCGGTACAAGAAATATATAACTATTTTAGAAGCAGCGATAGGTATTACTCCCCTTAACAAGAGGGAGCTGCTTCCTGAGGGTAGACATGCAAATCTGTGGCAACATCCAGGGTAAGTGTTAAAAAACAATCAGTGAATAACTGTGGGAAAACCTGTGCTCACCTTGAATCATGCAATTTTAAAACTTGTTATCGGAAAAGAGGAGTCATGCATAAAACAGGTAATTTATTTTTTTTTGTACTTTACAAATGGTGTATCTTCTGCAGTTAAACTTTGTGGTCTCATTAGAGATTTCTGTGTAATTCTTGTCCTGGGCTAGTAGAATAAGTAGGAGAAGGTGTTATTTCTAAATCAGGAGTTTGCTGAAGAACAGAAAGGATAAACAGGTGTATACTCATCAGAATGAAAAATCAAATGGTTCTTTTGTGTTTATTGCTTTACTACTGAGCTGATGCATGTATGTTTGCGTTTCCCTATCCCCCATTTAAAAATATACATATTTTGGTTTTTTCCATGAGAGAATTAGCGGCTTCCAAAAGAGGAAAAGAAGAACATTTTTCTCTGTGTGTGCAACTTTCTTTCTCTGCTAGGAAGCAAGAGTTCATCATAGTTAAGAATACTGTTTCCCTGAAGGAAAGTTGTAGTTATTAGAAGAGAAGTCAATTAATGTTCAAAATGTGAAATACCAAGCATTCTGGTTTTGTTAAAAACAATCCAGAGTGCTTTCTTGTACCACACAACTTGAGTATTAGGCTTCAGAAAATTCTTCCTATTCATAACTGTTTCCCTCAAAAACTTATGGTGTGTGTGAAAGTGGGTTGTCGTTCCCTCCCACCTTCCACTATGAGTAGCATCAATGGGTGGGAGTCTTCACAGCCCTTCTAGTCTCTCCTATTTATGTTATACATTAGAATGCTGTCACCTTGTTTCAAATATTGCAGATGAGTGCAAAATGTGAGAGGCATTTGTTCAAGAGCAATTAATATGTTTGTACTGGTTTGGAATAGTTTTGTGTAAGCAAGACTTCAAAGAAAAGCTTGGAATAAAACTGTGACTGTTTGGCTATAACTGAACTCAGATTTATCCTGTAATTTTTCCACAAGAGTACTTCCCCTGATGGTGGTAGCAACAGTAAAAGCAATTAAAATACACTGCACCATATGATTTTTTTTTTTTGAGTTGTATCACCAAAATCACAAAAACTAGTCTAGAAAATATGCTGATGCCAACAGTTTCCAGCCTCTTACCAACAGAAGTATTCTTCAGGTTGGTCCTAAGTTTCTGGTATTGTGTTAATGAGTGCTTGTATGGCTTTTTGTTAAAAATCTGCCTATTAAAAGGGGTTCTTAGTACAATGTGTTTGGACAAAGGACAGTAGAGTGTCCTAGACTGTGACTTCCTTTGATTGTTTCATCTGAGTTATCTGCATGCCAATCTCTTTGAATTTTGCGGCCACTCTTTACATGTTGATAAAACAGTGCATGATTGCTCTTGATATTTTGAGGAGCTGTGTTGGAAAGTAATGGTACATTCTTGCAGAATTCCTCTTTGTTTTCAAGTAGGTTTGTTTGGCCAGAGTCACAGCTTGAAACGAGCCATCTAACAATGAAACTTGCTAACTTTAGCATCCATTATTTTTGTTTTGTGACTGGGACTGCTTGGCTCTCATCTGCTGTTGAGCGTTAGTATCAAAGTGCAAAAGACACTACCCCATTAATATTTGTTTTTATTTCCAACATTCTTAATCAGGCATCTCCCTCCTTTCTGGGAGAGGTTTAGTTGATGTGATTGTTGTACACACTTGGAATTCCAAACTGATTAAGATGTATTTGGATTATGTTTGGATTTGCCATTCCAACAGTTTTACAAAAGCAGAAAAACTGTTGTCATTGGACTGTAATAGGGATCCCTTTTATGTTTTCATTAAAACCTTCAGGGAACTGAAGGTTGGTAACCAGCAATTGTGGCAAAGTGAACTGTGAGTTGAAGAAAAAAGTGCTGTTCTTTTTGTAGCTGCAGACTGCTTATTCTATACAACTGGCATAACCAAATCAATAACTCACTTTGCTAACATCAGCTTATCACTCTAGAGGTACCCTGTCACGTTCATATAAAAAAGGTGGTTTAGAAGTGTGTGTGTGTGTGCGCGTGTATAGAGGGGAAAAAAAAAAACCAGCCAAACCATAATGAGACAGTTTCCAAAACCTAATACTCAATGTGGGATCTAGAGGTCCTCATCTGTCATCTCTTCACTGCACAAATTCAGTTGCATGCTTAACTCAAATACTTCCTTTATTTCTCTTAATCATCTCCTAAAATAAAAAATAGCATTGGAGTGTGATGCCAGCTCCCGTGCCGTCCTTGAAAGTTGTGAAAATCCTGATTAAAAACCCAGAATAAAGTGCAAAAGAAAGCAGGAAAGGCAAATATGTTGTTTTGCTAAGGCATTCATTTACATTTCCGTATCAAAGGCATTATAAAGTATGTTTTTCTGCCTCCATTTTTGCTTGGAATAGTGATCTGATTTCTGTGACAGATTGATTTTTGTAACTTTAGGCATCTTCGTGCAGAGGCAAAATGACAGCAGTGATAGTTTGGGTTTAGCTTGCTTGTGTAACTTCCCTGCAGCCTCCAGAATAGTATTCTGTGCACAGCCTGGAACAATAAAGCTGATGTTTGTTCATAATGCGCAGCACAGCTCCTTGCTGCTCTTTGGTGATCATGGAAACTCATATTAAGCATCCTTTTGTTCTGTGACTTCAGAAATCATGCCTTGATCTAAAACAGTAATTTATTACTTTTAGAAAGATACTTTTATGCTGGAAGAATCAGCAGAGAGGGAAAAGGACTTTCTAGTTTCACAACATGATGTCTGGCAGGTGCTTGCATTTTTGAAATTTTTCAGAAATTACTCTGAGACCAAATGTATTTTTAAAATATCTTGGAACTTTTAAGTTTGCTTTTTTGAACATGGGCCCTCATTATGATTGTGCCTAGGAAAAAGTGGGCGCCACACACAAGACACATCAGTAAAATGTGGAGTAGACTTGTAGATAATTGGGGAAGTTCTGCAGAATTCTTTCAGCATCTCTTTCTTATGGCTGTCCTGCTATCTAGAAATGGCTAATGGGAGTATTAAGCAGAATTTAAAAAACCACATATACATTGGAGAGAAAAAAAAACAAACCCAAACCTATTACAAGTATGGATAAGGTACTCTCCCAGGGAAGTCTGGCTATAGACTTCCATCTTTTGAAGATGGAACACTTTGGAAAGATGCTCTTTGAGAGGAATTAAGATGATCAAGATGAGTGTTGGTTTTCTTTTAAAAACAAAACAAAACCCAAGCAACAAACCCTAACCACTGGCTTCTGTTTCTATTTCTGTCAAAAGTTCCTCCTTCATCTTCGTTAAACCATTCATTTTCTGTTTTCCTACACAGGATAATCAAGGGTTAGGACAAGGGGTGGGGGAGAGGAGGAGCACTCTGACAGGGATGCTGAATGGAAGTTAAGATACTGCTTGTGCAGAAGAGGGGTAGCTGAGGCCTGTTGAGTGGGGGAAGAAGTAGAAAATTACATTGGGAATTGTTTCTTTTCTATTGTTTGGCAATTGGAGTTGTTAAGTTATCAATTGAAGTCACCAGAGTGCGTGTATCTGATTGTTCTTACTGAGGTTATGCTTAAGATACAGTGCTCTTACTAGCTTAACTTTGTACAATCTTGTGCAAGCTAAACTATCAGACTAAGACTAAATTAAAACAAAAAGCCCAAATGCCTTGCGGAAAGGACCAGTGCAAGAAAGGGAATATAAGCATGCTTCCTATCTCTACCCTCTTTAGTTTGCAAAAATGGATCATTACCTTGTGTGCAGGCTTGTGTGGATGCCTGAGGAGGGACAGTGCTTGAATTGAACTTTGCAGTGTTGCTGCAAGTGTAAATATTGCCAAGTATATCCTTTATTCAAGCACTGTTTCCACTTGATTACCAGGGAAGCTAAAGCATGCCAAACTAGCCAGGGAAATATATTTTATATCCTCTTTATCACTAGGACTTCAGTGTCCCAGGCTTCACAGTCACTCTTTTGTGATTATACATGACTTAAATGAAACTTTGTTTTTCAGGGAGCAAACTGCTGCACTGCCATCTCCTTGTGAGTGGGACTGGGAGCACAGCTGTACATCAAGCCCAAAGCATCTCGCAGCAAGTAGACAGAGACACCCAAAAATCATCATTCCTCACAAGGTACTAGTCAAGTTGCAACAGTTAGAACTGGCCATTAGTTTAAAATGACGGATTCTTGTCATGTGCTAGCTGTAACGTTCATTCTTTTAGCTCTGTTTTTAAAAGGTTTTAAGAAACTGTACTTAATAGAGTGATACTTGTAAATCAGAACTAGTTCTTTTGGATTCCCAAAGCAACTTACAATGAGCACGCACACGTTTGCTGAAAGCTTGATAATGGACAACAGGCCTCCAGAAGAGGCGAGACTTCTGAAATGAACTCAATATTCTGCTGAAGTTATGCAAATAATAGTGCACAGGTCTGTACTAGTTCATCTCTTAGCTAAACATTGGTAAAGAATGGATTTAATCTATGGTGATGTCTTCAGCAAATTAAATATTTAGCATGGGTTCAGGAATAAATAAATAACTTTAAGCATGGAGGGTAATATTAATGGGAATTGCTTAGTGACTCAGTAGAGTCCTGGGAAACAGAATAGCCACACACAGGGAGAGTTGTTTTGCTGCATATTTTCTTACAGTACATCATTAAGGTAAATATAATCCTTTTGGCATCTTAACCTTGCTTTTTAAAATTTTTCTCAAGTGCTTCCAGAGAGAATATAAAGTGCGTCCTTAGTTTTATGTGTTGATCAAACATGCTTGGCTTGTTTTTCTAAGTCATTAACAGATGACAGTTTCAAGACAGCAAAGGGTTTTTATGCTGGTGTGTTGCAAAACTGTAATTGCCTTATGTTTCATTCTTGAGAGATCAGTAGCTATTGCTGCTTTAGTAATTTACTTGGCAATGTGGGTATCAGTTGTCCTGTTTTTCTAATTTGTGATATACTTAACTAAAGCTACTCATCTGTTAGTTGAATATTCTGGGAGTGAGGGGAGAGGATGCTAGTTAATAAGAGTCTAGAGACATGATAGAAAAGCGCAAAAAAAAAAAGTTAACATTATATAAAATAACAAACAAGCAAGCCCTGTTCACTTAGGGCACTGTGTGACGGGAAAATATGATATGAGAATATCAGTGAAGTGTAGCTAGACAGGAATGTCCCAGTTGAGGTCTCAAGCAGACTGTAGCATTTTCCTCAAAATAAAAAAACTTTCAAGAATATAGTATGGTATGCAAACCTTACACCAGGGAATGTGGGTACTTGCAAGCCCAACCCTTAGCGAAAGAAACTCCAGAACCATGTATTGACTAGAGAAAGATGCCTCAGAAGCTTCATGTAGCCACCGTGCCTGTGGGGTCCCAGGAGTTGTGGAACTGGCAAGTGAATGACCGGGGTGGCTGTGTCCATCTGCTTTCTCCCTGATGATTGTTCTCGCTATTCTCCCTTGGACTCTCACCAGCTCATTTCAGTCCTTCCTGCAGAGCAGCACCCAAAAGCGAGCACAGTACCCTAGCTGGGACCTTGCTGTTACTGAATAGGGCTGCAGAATGGCTTTGTTTCTTAATGAACTCGTCAGCAGGAGGTTTGCCAGTATAAATAGGATGGGGAGAGGCAGAGCTTTGAAGAATAGCTTTAATGCTCTAAACGACTAACTTGGCTGAAGAACTGCTGTCTGGAGCTTTGTTTTTTAAATTAACCTCTGTATCAGAAAAAAAATGAACAAGAAAGTTTTGTGTATGTTAGGTCTTGTGCATTCTGCATATTCTTTTGCTTGTTCTTAATAAGTATAATGATCTCCATAAGAATGGGACCTTTTGTTTTCTTTACTGTGTTGTCTTAATTAATTTGAGCCATAAGAGTTGATCACTGTGGTAAAGATTTTGATGTCATAGGGCTTGACTTCTAGCGAGGGAAGGCAGATAAATTGCTAAAAGCAGAGGATTGTTTCACAGCCTTGCAAGGAGTAGTCAAGAAACATGGAGAAGAGAGAAAGGAAATGAGATGTAACCAAGATGAATGATCAAACAGAATGTGCTCAATGTGGTGCCTTCTGTTTAAAATGAACAAGTTGGGGGTGGGGAAGAGATTTCCTTCCAAGCGTTGATACGCACTTTTGTGTAGCGTTTGAGGAGAAAAAGAGTACGCACTTGTGTGGTTTGGATCTGTTTAAACGACTTCGTTGTTTCATTCTTTAGAATAACAGTACTAGCTTTTGTAGCTTCTTAAATTAATAGAGGTCAACGTGCTTATGCCAAAGAAAGTTGCTTCAATTTGCATAGTCCGTAGGGGAACGGGGTGGGGGGTTTGTTCTGGTAGACTGACTGTTAAGTCCCTGTTTCATTCTCTAGCACTCGGTCGCACTATTTCATTTGCTTACCTTACGTACCAGTGTAATTTTCAAGACACTGCAGTGTAGTTTAAAACATTGCACAGCTGAAAGTGTGTTTAGAATAAATAGACTGTGTTTCTTTATTCTTCCCACTATCATGCTTTATTGACTACTATCAAACACCTCTGCATATTCTCGTGCTGCTTTTTATCTGTCCTGTGGAACGTCCTATACATCTGTATTTTCTAATTTGCATGTTCTTTGCAGAGATGTAGCAACAAACAAAATAAGCAGTCTTGTGCTGTTTTTCAGCAGAATAAACCTGTGGTGTGTGAGATCTAGTAGAACTGATGATTAATATTTCAAAACTGTTGAGAAAAATACACTGTAGTGCTGTATTTCATACTGTTAATATCTCTAGTGCTGTTCCTAGTTTTCAGCATATAACAGTGTTTTGTCACAGTAATTTTTTTTCTGTTTTGTGAACTTGAAATTGAGTTTATAATTGGCTTAGAACAGTGCTGCTTCTTGCTCTAAATCTTTATCTACGTGTTTTAAATTTTGTTGATTTGAAGCGTCCAGGTAAATCTGTATGTCTAGGTTAAAAAAAAAAAAAAAATCCTTACCATTAGAAGGTCAAAATAGGTGGCCAGGTGAGCCATGGAGGATTTTGTACTGTTGATTACCCCAGAAAAAGTATGTATGAAGTGTCGGATACTGTTTATGTTGGGGTTTGTGTTTTTACCAGGGATGTCTGTGGTTTCTAAAATAAAAGCCTTAGAATTGCTGCTTTGAAACCTGGAAAGTGTGTATAGCTGTGCATCCTTACACTAGACCAGAGATGGCAAACCTACCAGACTCTGCAAGCTGCATGGCAAAATCTTTATGCTGCATAATCACAAGCTGTACTTGGGAAGCAGAGACAAGGGGTGGGATAATGAACATGTCACTCTGCTTTAAGCTGGCACTTGAGTAATGCAGTAACCCAGAAATGATAGGCTAATTCAGGTGGAAGGGGACCTCAGGAGGTTTGTAGCCCAGCCTCTTGCCCAAAACAGGGTCAGCTGTGGGATCAGAACAGGTTGCTTGGGGCTTCACGCAGTTGGGGTTTGAAAACCTCCAAGGACAGAGATGGTACAGTCTCTCTGCGCCCTGGGTCCATGGCTTGGCTGCCCTCACAGGGAAAAATTTTCTCCTTATATCCATCTGAATCTCTCGTTTGAACTTTTGCCCATCGTCTTCTGTCCTCCCACCCACACCACTGTTAAGAACCTGGCTGCATCTCCTCCATCTCCCCCTGTCAGCACCTGCTGTTAGGTGTCCCGAGACCATCCTTCGTCCGGCCTGAACGAGCCCAGCTGCCACAGCCTCCTCTTGCAGGGCCAGTGCTTCAGCCTCTACCATCTTGGTGGCCCTCCACTGGATTCACTTCTACACATGGTAACAAGTGCCAAGATAGTATTCATGGCTTTCATGGCTTCTCTTCTCTTCTCCAGTCCCCTCAAGAGATTCAGATTACAATGCCATACATGTGACTTAACCCCAATATAGAGCCATGTGTTTGAACCATATGTAGCTCCTGAGCAGTTCAAGAGTCAGAGGTCAGCTACCTACACATCCTCTAATCCTGAAGGTTGAATCTGTTAGGACCCAGCTTACTATATAAAGAAGCGGCCGTAATTGGATTTATGAATCATTTAAGTAGGACTGGGCTGACTGATTTGTGTGATTTTGCAGGCTGATGACAAACACCAGTCTGAAGAGATTGCCTGGAAGGGAAGGGGGAAAGGCTGTTTGGCAACATGGTATTTTTAGAAACTTCTACAGTGCCTTTCATCAGAGGATCATGAACACTTGCTTAAAAACAAGCAAAACTGACATCTCTGTTCAGACAGTTCAACAACTGGACTAGCAGCCTACATTCTCAATATCTCTTGCTGAAATCAGTTCCCAGTTCTTCAAGGAGGTTGCCTGTTTGCCATGCTGTCTAGCAGCACTACTAAGTGTTGAACTCTAACATATTAAAAAAAAAGAAGAACTGATTGTCAGAGGGGCCAGTTAAAAGGCTTGATAGAGGAGGCGGCGAGAACGTGAATCACAACACGGTAACTAATCTTGGTTGCTGCAGGCAAGTTGCTGAATAGTTTTACTTGGTTGGTAAGAGTAACTGAGAGACAATCGCTTGTTTTAAATTTGCATCGTGTAGTGTAGTGTTAAATGGGTGTTCCCTCTATTGATGCTGGAAGCAGCACAACTGCTTCATTCACAGTAGCATTAGATAATTTATGGAATACGTCCTAGGTTTTGCATGACTCGAGCTACAGCAAGTGATCTCTCTAAATTACTACTACACAGACCATAGATTCAATCTGATTGTAGGTAAACAATGTCTGCCTTGATTACTTGAACTGAAAATCTCAATGGGAAATGTGGTCACTAGAAGTTATTTGCATGTTTCTCATAGAGTTAATACCAATTAACCTTTCCATGGAGATTAATTTTAAAATTTCTACACACCTACATAACATTTAATGAAATCCTCTGCATATGATACTGCTTTGTACAGTTATTGCACATGCAAAATAGCTGGTCCTAAACACGGCATAGGATGACAGAGCTGCACATTTATAGCCCAATTAATGTAATTTTGACATGGTGTTAGTACCTGGCCTTTACTTTCCACAATGCAGTATCCCTTCCAGGACTGACTACAACTGTACCTGCATGTCCCGTTTCAAAAGGAGATAATGAGTGAAAAGCGCATGCAGCCGTGCCTCGAAACACTCT